CCGGGAGACGCGGGGCCGCGAGGCTCACGTAGGCAGGCCCGCTGCCGCTGAGCCCGGTGACCGCGTCGATCAGGTCCTCCTCCACCTCCGTGCAGAAGCCCACGCTGCTCATGAGCTGCTCCAGGAGCTGCCCGTCCTCCACCAGGGCGTGCGTGCCGGTGGCGTACACCGTGGCCCCCTCGCGCACCACCACCGGCGTGTTGGTCATGCAGCGGATCACTTTGGGGGCCGGCTGGAAGGCCGTCAGCTTCTGCAGCAGGAGGGCGCGGCGTTGCCAGGACACCCCGCCGGCGCCCGCCCTCTCCCGCGGGCAGCGGGGCCCACAGGTACCTTCTCCACGGAGCTGATGGTGACCCCAGCTGCACAGGAGACCACGATATGCCGGGCCTGGACGTCGGCCCCGATCTCGTCCAGGATGAAGGGGATGATGTGCGGCTTCACGGCCAGGAACAGGACGTCGCTGTGCCGCACGGTCTCCTTGTTGCTCCGGGTCAGGTTCACGCCCAATTTCTGTCGGAGAGACGCACGGCGCTGGGCGGCCGCAAGCCCGAGGGCAGCCAGCCGCGGCGGGCAGACAGGGCTTCCGGGCCGCCCCTGGGCGCTGCCGCCACCCACCGGCACGTTTCCAGGCGTGTGCAGATGAGCACGGCTGCAGGGCAGGCGAGTGCCTCGGGGAGCAGAAAGCAGGGTCCCTCACTGCACGCACCCCCAGCCCCCAAGACAACCCGCGGCTGCGAAGTGGCGAAGGGGCCACGCTGGAACCCGACGCTCAGGCCGCCCGGCTCCCACGGGCCCGGGGCGGCTGGCGGCCCCCAGCTCCCCGTGAGCTTCTCAAACGGGGGCAGGACCCCAGGGCCAGGCACGTGCGCAAACGCGTCCGGAGCACCCGGGTTTGGGTGCAGACTTGGGACACTGTTCGCCTTGGGGAAGAAGCTGACTCGGGTCCTTTCCTCCCGCCGAGTGGCTACCCGGCCTCCACCTCAGGTACGGGGGAAAGTGAGCCGCAGGGCGAGGGCTGGAAGGGCGCAGTCGGCTAGCGAGGAGGACAAGCAAGCCTGGGCCCGGCTTAATGCTCACCAGCTGCTTTTTCAACTAGAAGGCGGCGTGAAAGCAATATGCATTCGGTAGAAACGGCCTTCAAATTTTGAATTCTGACCTTCGGCGGGGCAGGCTGGGCTGTGTCTGACGTGGACAGGGGCAGAGCCCCAGCTCCCAGACAGCCCTCCATCATGAGGGTGAGCCACTACATGCCAGACTGGTTCTCACTCTCTCCAGTCTGCAGCAGGCCCCTCCCTGGTGGCACAGCCGGGTAAAGCACAGCACTAGGAAGCTGGCATAGCCACTGCAGCTCCACCCGGCCAGGGAGGGACCCCGGGGCGCAGCAGACCCCTCCCGTCTCCCCGCTGCTCCAGCATACTGCAGGGGATCTGCCTGTTCTGCTCCCCACTCTGTCTCTGGGGAGTCCTCTCACCAGCCCTGCACCTCTGGCCTGTACCCCAGTTCTGTGTGCACAAATTTTTTTTTAGATTCAGTAAATTATGAAGACAGCCACTCCTTTGTTATAAAATAGCCTTCATGTTAATGACTGCACCCAACAACAGGCTACTGTAAGTGTCCCACAGACATCAAGGCAGCACATTTGTTACTGTGAAATACGCTTCCCATTTATGCGATTTCAACTCGGGTGGGGAGACTGGGAAGGACACCCACAGAAAGCCGGGCACAGCCTGTTTTTCCGGGAGACCTACTGCCTGCTAGGCGCCTTCCACACACAATCACCTCCATTCACCTGCTAACCAGCCCTGGGAGTGGACTGAACCCAAGTGCCGGGCTCCCACCGCCCTGGGCGGCCCTGGACGCTGGGCCTGTGTGGCGCCTGGCGGGCAGGTCGGGGCTGAGAGCCAGCACCGGCCCCCGCCGCCCCCCACCCCCCACCCGTTCCCGGGTGCCCAGCCCACCCCTTACCCTGAGCGCGGCCACCGTGGGCAGATCCATTTCCGGGGAGCTGGCCATTATTTTGTGAGCCGAGAGGATGCCTGTGGGAGACGCGGCTTTGAAACGGGGGTCCACGCCCCCCCCGGCCCTCCCCACTCCGGGGCCGCAAAACCAGAACCCCTAAGCCCCGACACGTGGACCCGCCGCCGCGTCCCTCCCGGGCGCAGAAGGCGCAGGCGGCTGCTGCACGGAGTCTCCGGGCGCCACCGAGCGCGACCTGCCCGGGCCTCCCGCACGCACGC